TATTATTTATATTATTATTTATATTATTATTTGTATTATATTTATATTATTATTTATATTATTATTTACAAATATTACATAGATCATTTATTTATATTACATTAAATAATTTATATTTATATTAAATTACAAGATAAGTAAATAAGTAAGTAACTAAATAAATAAATAAGTAATTTTCTTGTAAATATTATTAGTAGTTTTAATTTAGTAATTTTTTATAAAAGAAATATATATTTTAGCTTAAAAAAGTCAATCAAGTCAAATCAAGTTCTCATCAAAATATTAATAACTCAAAAATAAACTTCTTTAATAATAATATCCTTTTAAAATTAATATAATTAGAATATTAATATAATTTTTTTTATTATTTCATTATTTAAGTTTTAAGTTTTATATTAGTTTTGTTATAATCTCTTATATATTTATAATTTTATATTAATAATCTCTTAAATATTTATAATATCATATTTATAATTAATTTCTTACATATTTGTAATATTATATTATCAAAATAATTTAATAAATTAAATTTATAATATTTTACTTGTCTATAAACTATTATTATAATTATTATATTATATATATATTAATTATAAAAAGATTTTTAAGTCACTTTCTAGCTGACTAGTATTTAATAAATATCTTTAGTTATTTATCTTATTTTTTTATCTAATTTGAAATATGTATTGAGTATATAAAAAGATATAATAAAAGTAAAAACCAAGTAAAATGATAATAATATATAAAAAGAATTAATTAAAATATAGAAATAAAATATCTGCTAAATCTTAATAAAATAATTTATATTAAGTATATATTATAATATAAATTTAATTTATAATAAAAAACTAATTAAAATATCTTAAATAAAAATCAATTAGATTCATAATAATTATTGTTCTTTATCAAATACTATTATTATATAAGGGAAATATTATTATTATAAATAGATGTTGAACTTTTTAATACTATATTTATCTAATTGATCTTTTGCTCTAATATATCAATTAATATATAATATATTATAATGAATATATAATATATTATAATAATAATAATATAAAGACAAAATTTTCAAAATCTGACTGGTAACTTTGTTTTTTATAACAAGTTCTACAAAGTTACCAGTCAGATTTTTAAAGTTTTGCTTTTATATTGAGTAATAGTATTTTTAAATTAAAATATATTGTCAATTTAAGAGTTTTTACATTATATTTCTTGCAAAATTAAATAATAACAAAATAAACTTGAAATACTTTAAAAAACTAAAAATATTAATGAATATATCAATTAATTTAATGCTTTTTTAAAAAAGATAAATCTAATCAATGCTTATTCAAAAGATTATAAAATCTATATATATAAACAAGACTTGAACCAGAAATATGCAGATTAATGACTAATTTTATCCAACTTATAACATTATTTCAAAATCTAATTAGTAGACTAGAAACTCTAAAAGCACTAAGAAAGTCTACTTTTCAACCAAGAAACAATAATTAAAATTATTTTTGTGATAATAATTATTAACTACCTATTTGCTATAATTGGATACTTGTCAAAAAATCTTATAATGCCAACATTTATCAACAAAATTCTACAAGAAACCAGCAAAATTGGAACAATCAGAATGTCTAACCAACAATAATGACAATATTCTAACAAGAACTAATCCTCCTCCTTCTAGACCAGCACCAATAAATGTTAATAATGACAACCAAACCAATCTTCTATCTCAAATTCAGCTATTGATAGCTACACTACAAGTACTAACTCACTGTTTTTACAAACAAATTATATAGAATTACCTGAAAAAGTTAGAAGGACATGGTAATTACGCGAGAAAACAGTAAAGTCATTCAAAACTTATATTGATTGTGTGTAAATGGCAAAGCTCTTGGACGGGTGATAAAAACGCGTAACTTATATGGCTGTGAAACCGACCAGAAATGAATTCTTTAGTTTATTATGTTCTTATGAGCAGGTGATAAATACGCGAAAACAGAATCTGTGCTCGGTCCCTGCAACTAGTAGGTAGTAGAGATAACTGTATTAATTAGTTCATAATTCATGTGAATAGTGTGTAGTGCTATTAAGTATAGGCTAGTCTTCTTAGTCATGTCGCGCAGAAGGGCGTGAAACGTGACATCGGGGTACTGCGGATCCGGATATCCGTTAGTATAATATACACATATGTAAATATCCGGGTAAGCAAACGGATCCGGATCCAACCTCTAAACCGTAGTGCCGGTAACGTGTCAACTTGGGAAATAGCGAATGATAAACTTTATCCAAGTTGTCACGTACCGAGCGAATAATAAAATAATTGTGTATAAAATATTGTAGCCAATTTCAAAAGGGTGACATGGCACTTTCATTCAATAATGTAAAACATAAACATCAGCTTCCATAAATAACTACAACGAAAACTTTAGCTTGGATTTTAGATTTTGAGTATTAATAAACGAATAAAACCAAAATGTTTATATTGTACAATTATATTTTACACATATATTACACCAATAATTGTTATTTATCTATATTACTATATTAAATAGAAAATGTCAATCTTCCCAAAAATTTCTTACGAAGAATGTTTTACATGAAATACATGACCTAAAATTGATATAAAATCTTAGAAATTACAAACAAAAAAAAAACAAACGTAGTTCTTTTTTCGACGTACCCTTTGAAGCTCGGGTTTTACCGCGACAAAACTACTTCTTTGACCTCCTTCCTCAGTTTCAGCTGTGGAAGAGGTTTCGGAAAAGGAATCATTAATACTGTGCATATGGAAGCGTGTTCGTAAGCAGGCTAAGTGTGCGTAGTAGACAGGTGGCACCTTTTTTTGTTGATGATAAAATAGAATAAATGAGTAAAAAAAGAAAAATAATCTAGAGTTAGCATAGCGAAATTACCATTGATACTGATCTGGTGCATCGCACGTAGACATAACATAAATTATAAGAAAGTAATTGTAAACTGTATATTTATTTTGGGTATATAAAAAAATTAGTACGCAAATTGAATTTAAAAATAAAATTATTCTCTAAAAATATACCGGTCTGGACCCAATCTATTCTCGTCATATAATACTTGATAATGGCAAGGACGACAAGTTCCTTGTAACCCAGCTTGACTTTGAAGATCTAAATAACGAGTCAAAAAAATAAAAATAGAAACCAATTTTATCAAAACAAATTGATACATACAAAAATCATATTCATCAGGATGTGTGATCATCGCGTCGACCACAGTTCCAGTATGGCAATTGCCGGTGCGATCTGCATCGTTTTTCGTTACTGGGAAGAATCGTGTGTGATGTCTTTTTTGGACTACCACAAAAGTTATTGGTGGATTGTATGTTTCTTCTAGAGACCCACAGGCTTCTATTATTAAGGAGTAAAAATATTAATATGATCCTTCATAAAGGATTGGTGATTTCCATATTTAAAAGAAAACCAAGATTTAGATACCTTGAATTCCTTTCAGCTCGTTTTCCAAAACTGCACTAAATTGTCCTTCTGAAACGCCATCACGATAGAAAAGAATTCGTTCTGGTTTTCTTCCGCAAGTCTGGTAAAAAATCTTCAGTATGTCTTTGACCATACTACTGAGATCTGCGATGATCTCAGCCCGAGCGTTTTGCATGCGTGTAACTGCGGAATATCGTGAAGCTCTGGAGTCCATAGAACCACAAACAGATGTAATTGAAGCCTTATTTTCACCTAATAAAATTTAAAATTCAGTATCAAATTGATGATGTGTAATTCAATCAAAATCAAACTAATTTATACCTGGGCCAGGATGCGACACATCAGCACCCATAATAATTGTCGGTCTCTCTGAAACAAATTCAATGTCAACAGGCGTTAAGAACGAATTCATTCCTCCCAACTTAACATTAATCTTGATACAAATGTTGGCGCAGTACTGTTTTTTGGCTGTGATTATATGTTTACTTTGACAACACTGAGTGGCAACACCAATCAATGTATCCCCGACGCGTTTGATCTCGGAATAGAGTTGCATTCCGGTATTTGGAAGGATGCAGAAGAGCAATTGAGGTTGTGCTTTGGCTGTGTTTCCCGCATTTAACCATGTTTGTTTCATAATTTCGGTGATGTTTGCTTGAGGATTAGCATACGAAATTAGCGGGTCTTTGTTTGGAACATTCTATATTAACAAACCACAATTAGTTAATTGATTAATTAATTACAAAAGAATGATTGATACAAAAGAATTATTTACCATCCCAGTATCAACACATATAATGACAAGTTCCCGCACAAAATGTCTGATCGACTGAATGGGAAATTCATGTTCTGATCCAAATACAATGACAGCCCATGCTCCAAGAGTAGCTCCTGTGGCCACTTTTTTATCGCGAAGATTCCAAACACCATCTCGTGGTTGAAAAGAATGATTGCGAGAAGAAGGATGGTAGTTTATGGTAGGAACTGGGAGGATTCTGGCTGGTGGCTAAGAAATAAAATTTCATAAATAATCAATTAAGAAATCAACGCTTTCAATCATATAGTAACTTCGATTTACCTGGACCATTTCATGCCCGATCTTTATTCCAAATTCTTTCAAGTATTCGTTTTCACGATAGTTCAAAATCTTCAAGCCAGCATTGATTTTGTTTGCTCTAATGTGAGGCGGTTGACAAGTAGATTTGATCATATCTGCCGTTTGTTTTTCATTAAGTTTTCTTAAGTATCGCTGCCCCTAAATTCAAATAAATTCACTGTTCAATGAAAATAAGTATGACAAACAATGAAAAGATCATAATACCTCGATAACATTACAGACTTCCATTGGCAAAAATATATCTCGTCTGACTACCACACACGGCATAAATGGGTACGCAAGACGAAAATTGTAAACCCTTAAAAAATAAGTCACTACATCCACAGGTTCATTATTTAGTTGAAATACAGTTTGGTTGGCGGATTTCTCAGTTAATTTATTGATTCGGAATCGACGATGAGAGACCTCTTTACCACGATGACTAACTCGAATTTTCAAATTCTTTAGAAACTTTTCAAGCTTGACTCTATCGCGCTCGTCGATTCCTCTTCGAAGATCGTCGGGAGACCTCCTTCCCAATGCCTTGACAACAATTGGAACCAGTGGTCCGCCTTCATAGAAAGCAGTGGCGCTCACGTCGATGTTTATCATCATTTTTCCGGTGGTTGGTCGAGCAGATTGATAATATCCTTGCCATACTTCGACACCACCATACAAATGCTGGGAACTGTCCGATGTATAAAACGAACGACCGACAGTAGCATAAGTCATAGAAGGCTTGTGTCTGATCAACACATCCAATGCCATGATAGCTAAGAAAGTGAAAATTATAAGAAAAATGTTATTAAATTACAAAACCGATTTTTTATCTATTTACCAGTCAAGCAAGAAGGTGTTAGTTGACTGTCGCCATGCAAGAAAGCTTGTAGTTCTCGCATTTGAATCTGACTTGTTCCTTTAATCTTAACTTCAAAACGGCGAGGAGGACGTCTCGATCGTTGGGCACTGCCATCTTCCTCGGGTAAAGTTAGCTTTATTTAGTAAAGATAAGAAATCGATTTTTATTAATAAAGTCGATTTTTTAATAAAATTCAAAATTGATGCGAAAAATCCTTACAATATAACTACAGGCATCTTGCAAAGGCAATTTCTTTGCCGCAAATAAATTCTTGCGACCTTTGTTAATTATCGAAAATACAATAAATAAAACACATTAAACGCAAAACAATTCTACGAAATAATCAATATACCATCGTAAACAGGTTTACTGTCTCCAAACGCGACTGCACCGTGAATACGAACAAAATTATCGTACACTAGCCGGTTTAGCCTCGGAAAAACGTCAGGCGTGATAGAGACATCATAATGGTGGATTTTTAAAGAGGGCAGCATTTCCACAGGGTAGAAGTTTGCTCTGATGTGTGTTGGTTTACCCACAGTTTTTCGAGCATCGCTTGGCGGTGACGAAGATGACTGAACTTGGGCCATAGGTTTGCTGTTTTGATTTAGGAATTAGAGACAATCAATAAGCGAAAATGTCTGTGTAATGTGTGTGAAATGTCGAGGATAAGGAGAGGGCTTTTCTTTTTTCTCTTTATTTTCGCTACCAAAAGAAAGAACTAGATTTATAATAACGAAGAAAGAGAAGAATGAAAGAATTTATATCTTTGGAACGCATCCTATTTATACATGTCTCGCAAACTATTGGAATGTTTAAGTTACATACAAAAGTAACACGTAAGTAACAGTCAATATTAGATGTTGATTTATTAAAGTTTAATTTTTACGTTCTTTGCATACCGAGCGTGAGTCAAAAAGATTTTTTTCTAAAAACACGTCATAATTTATCAACGTTTGATTCCGTGAATATACTCAATAGGCTATCTGTTTTTAATATCAAGTGATGCGAAATTAGAAAACGCGTCAGTCAAGTTGAAAAAAATGCTTAATAGAACCGTCTAATCAATGATAACTGATTGAATTGAAACGTAACAGTTAGAAGAAAATGCTTAATATATTCGGAAATACACTCAAACCTCGTTATAGTGAAGACATCGGGGTAAGTAGCTTATATCGAGAGAATATTATATAACTTCACTAGTGAATTGAAGTTTATTAATGATTCTAAAAAAATTATTCATTATATCGAGAGTGAGTTGTATAGAACAGAATACGTTTGTAAATATTTGAAGTACGTGTTTATGATGCATTGTAATCCTAACAATGGGAAGCAGGCACGAAATAGTATGAGTGAGTCATCGCTAGCAAAAATGGTAAATAGAGCTCTTGTCTCAGACCTTCAGAAAAAAGGTACCGACATTACGACTTCATATCACATTATAATACAGGAGAAAGAAAGCCATATTCAAATTAATCAGTCATTAATGCGTAAAGATGTTTCGTATATATAAATATCTTCAATCAGCATTGTATACAATTAATGAACGAAAGGAGATAGGGTCTAAACATCATTAATGTGTATCAAATAAATATACTTTATATATATACAACATTCAGAAACCGCTCTTCTGAAGTTGATCGAAGAATGTCTCTGAAATTTCCGCATTTAAAATTATCATGATTGAATTCTTTTCTCTCGTTATAAACGTCAATTCAGTTGATCTCGTTTGTTAGGTAGATAATTCGTACGGCGGATCTTCCAAAGATTGAAAAACAACGTAGACTTCGAAAAATGACGATGTTCTTTCTTCTTTCGTTGCTAGGGACAAAAGACAAACATTAATTTAATTAATTAGTCAAAATGAAAAAAATCCAAAAAGGAATGTAAAGTCAGAAGAAAGGGGACTCGCACGAAAAAAATATTAATAAATATCCATAAAATAAATTTTGACCCAAATATATCATTATTTTGAGCATTGTTCTCATATCACTCATGTGGATGTTATTGATGTGGGGTTATTATCTTTGTTTTCCATACCTATTAGGACCCCATAACACATGCATAATAGAATAATTACTAGATCATACATAATAGACAAAAAACAAAAAAGCAAGAACAAAGGAACAAGAGGAAGGGATCGAGTTTCAAAATTAACGTTAGGAATTTATTTGTCTTTGTTTCCTAAAAAAGTCATTGTGGAATATTTCTAAATAGTTACACAGCATAATGTTAGAGAGTGCACGCGGCCGTTAATAATAGATCTTCTTTGTTTGCCCGATTCGGTAGTGCATTGCAAATGATGAAATGATATAAATCCACTAGTTCAACGTACGTTATTCTTCACTCTTCTCGATGAAAGTCATTAACTACTAATAATTTTTGTTTATTTCAAATCCCAAAAATACCATTTTTTTACGCTATTCCACTCACTCACACTTTCATTTAATCATTTTTTACATTCGCCGTTTTACAATCAAAAATAGTCGCGTAGCACGCTTCTATTTTCCCAAAAGTAAGAACGAACAAAAAACCATACTTTAAATTTTCCTCTGTGAGTGAAAAGCATATACGAAAAAACAATAAAAAACAAAACTTTTTTAAAAAAAATGGTAAACTCGACATTCATCATTTTAAACGCGCTGCGCGTACTCTCGATAACATCACTATTACTAGCAATCGCAACATGTATTATCGTAAATGTCAAAGGATTTCCAAACCTCGGGCAAAGTAACACGATATTTCAGTTTATGAATCGATCTGTGATTGCTTTGGAAGCTTTAGTTTTGATTTTCGCGGAATTGGGTTGGCCAGCACGGCTATTTCGCTGGTTCCCAATGTTGGATGATACTCATAGTTGGTCGTTTTTTGGGTTCTTGCAGATTGTGTATGTTTGTTTAAATTTTTTTTTGCCTTATGATAAGAGTAAATTATTTATTGTCGTTTTTTTTTTAATTAGTATGGGGTCTCTTATTCTTGGATATGATAGTGGTATTAGCAGTGTTCATTTTTTAGGCCATAGGTAAGTTACTTTATTTTTATTATAATAAATTGTTATGATAACAGTAATTAATTCTCTATCACCGAAAAACAATATAGTCTTTACATATTCATTGTGGTTCCTGGATGGTTCATCTTTATTATCGGTATTATATACATGATTACCGGTTCATTCGGTGGTCCAGGACTCAAAGCTACACGTCGACTTGGCTCTACTAAATCTCCTCCCCCCTACGGTGTATAATAATTTAAATAAAACGAACAATTTTTATTATTAGTTAATTCTCGTTATGTATAGTTAGATTTTTTACTTTTATTTACTTGTATAATTTGGTTTTTTCTTTGTTTCTTGTTATAGTCGCTTTTTGATACTCTTTATATATCGTATTTCATCTTGTTGTAGCTCTTTTTTCTTTGACGATAACAAGATTTCTTTGTATCAACACAATCTTATCATTTATCTCTATTATTATCTTTACTTGAAGCATTAGATCTATAGTTCATCAAGTAAATCCGGATGACTATATTGTTGCAATTTGAACGAAGAGCTGAATGTCCCACTGTTCGTGATTTTTCTTTGATTTTAAAATTAATCACCATCTTTGACATCTAGGCAAAAAAAACAATGTACATGTATACATACATTTGATCGATGATTTCAAATTTATTTTTATGCTTTTATAATATATTGGTGTATTAGTTGGAACGGGTCCGTTCGTGGTGCAAAAAGCTAGAAAAACGTTAGTCTTCCACTGGAGATTTGGCTTTAAATCTTGATTAGGTGCAAGAAAATGAACTATATAGCAGAAGCGAATAATTAAAGAATCAAATATAATTGATAATTACTTCTATGTCGTTATAACGACGAACTCTGAAGTATAATTAAAATCTCGATATAACGATTTTGAATTTTGCAATAACTTAGTACATGTAATTCGTTATAAAAAGTATTGTAAATCTTGATAACGAAGATTCCAAAAATTTTTATTGTCCGGCACCTTCGTTATCCAGTTTTGACTGTAATAACAGTGACGATAACAGCGTATGTGTGGGTAAAACCAAAAAAAAAAAATAGCTTGTTTTCGTGTACTGAAAGACATTTTGAATAGATAGGATATAAGATTGTTTTATCAACAATAATAAAGGTAAATGCCGTAATTTGCTGCATAAACCACCCCCCTCTATAGAAAATTTAAACATTAATTTGGTCCGAATTTTTTTAATAAAACCGATTATTTTTTCACAAAATAAAGAAATCAAGATTCACAGTGCAATTTCTTAAAAATTTTAATTACTAAATTAATAGTCGTGATAAAGTTAAGGTTTAAATTTTCTATAGGTAGGGGTGGTTTATGCGGCAAATTACGATACATTTTGCATTTATTGAGCAACACAGGTGAAAACAAGTAATATTACTCAAGTTAACCTTTTATATTGTTTGCTCGATAAAATGGTGTTTTGGATCTCGCTTCTAGTTTAGTTTGCGTTAACATAGAACATGATATAAAATTTTGCCAAATTTGAAAAATCGATTTTCTTTTTGCATTTCTATATTTAGGAGTGGCTAAAGCCAAGTAGTTACACGTGATATTCGGATTGCAATCATGTGACCAAAATTGATAGCCAATAAAATTACTAGTGTTAACTCACCAGTAACTGTAAGTTTTTTATCATAAAGTTGATGAACAATTTTATAGTGTTTCAAAAACAAAATAATTCAATTTATTTAATTATTTTTAATATTGTTAAAATCAATTTTTCAAGATCATTTTCACTAGAAATATTAAGCAATTCTTAAAAATTGAGTTCTAAATAATTTTTTAACAGAATGATTCCAGTTAAATTTTAATTTTAATTTTACACTTCCTTTAATCACAGGATTAAATATTGTTGTGATATGAACTTTTACTATATTAGTTATTTTATTGAATACTTCATATCACAATATTATTGGATAATTATTACTTATAATTTATTGAATACTAGTTATTAATAATATTATTTGTTAATATTAGATAATATTGTGATTATAGCAAAGTTAACTTGATGTTTCTAGCAAAATTAATATATGGATTATAGCTAAATTAATATAATAATTACAGCAAAACTAGTAATATAATACTAGCAAAACAAGCAATTAAATCTTAACAAAAATAACAAAATAATTATAACAAAAGTAATAATAGTATTATAACTAAAATAATATTTATAAAATTATCAAATATTATAAAAGTAATATAACTTAGCTGATAATTTAAAATAAGTTTCTTATAGATAAAACTTTGATAATAACTTATAAAGTATCTTAAATTATATTATTACTATTGATATATTATATATTATCTAGCCATTTGTTAATATATTAGAGCAAAGATCAATTAGATGAGTATAGTATCAAAAAATTGAATATCTATTTATAATAATAATATTTTTTTATAATGATAATATTTAATAAAGAATAATAATTATTATGAATCTAATTGATTTTTATTTAAGATATTTTAATTAATTTTTTATTATAAATTAGATTTTATATTATAATATATTTAATATTGTTATGATATGAATTTTAATATATCGCATAATTTTTCATGATTTATTTTGATTAGATAATTGATTTCATGTGATTTGTAAATTATATTCATATTATTTACATTTTACTCATACTATTTCTATTATATTTTATATTATTTTATTTTTATTTCATACTATTTTATTTTATTTTTATTAATTTTATACTATTACATTTATTTTCAAAGTTTCCTTAATTAACGAATCTTTCAAAAATAGTAGAAAATATAAAAATCTCTAAAAATAGTAACAAAATAACAAATTGATAAAAATAGTTTATATATATTAATTATTTAGTTATCATATAATTAGGGAACTGCTATTCACACCATAATAAATTACTATTCGTACCATGTGACTGTCATGGCGTAAAAAATTGTCAGTCCCGTGACCTCTGATCTGATCAGTCCACCAAATCGACCAAGGGATAGATAAGTCACTCATCTTTGCACATGATCTTTACCAAAAAAATGTTTTATTATTATTATAATAGTCCTTATGGTCAAATTGTTCAAGACCATTTTCATTTTACACCATATAGTCAGCGCAATTTAGAGAGCTTAGTTGTTGCTATCAGCTCTTGTTTTAATTGAGATTAATGGCGTTCTTAAGAATGTCGAAGACACTGATTTGGCGTGGAGTCAGAGTTCTTTACTGAACTTGTCAGGGACCCTTTCGTTCTGCTCACCTACTTCCCTGTGTGTTTGCTGAGGTCGCATTTCCAACCTTACGTCTTTTGTAGTCAGTTGATTTGCAGTTCATTCTGGCGCGC